TCCGGTAGCTCCACCAATTCAAACGTGTCATTCTCCTCGATGCTCTTCAGCTCACTCTCCATGGCCTTCTTCCACTCCTCAGCATCACTACTCTCCAAAGCCTCCTTGAGAGTTGCTGGTTCTCTCGGCATCTCCACCGGAGAGAAGAACGCGAAGGCACACTCCTCGTAGTCACTCTCCTCGTCGTCTCCGACCATCATTGCCGCTCCGGCCAGGGCTGTCTTGCCCTGCTTTCCCGGCGCATCATAGGTCAGCCTATTAGGGGGTTGAACTCTCCTCTTCTCCCTTCCTTCCTCCTCAGCTGCAGAGACTTGAAGGCCTTGGCGTTGCTGCGGTGTGGCTCGAATCCGTGGAGCACTCGTAGTACGGGAAGGGAGTGACGGTGCACTCTCGCTCACTTGCTGCACCTCCTCCTCTTCTTCCTCTGCATCATTGGCCTCCTCTCCCCCATTCACAAGGGAGGATTGCCTTGTGGTTGTGCTGCCGCTGCTCAGCTCCAAAGGCAGCTCCACATGCTCCAAACCGGAACTCTTCACCTCCCCAAACCGCACGCCTATCTTCGCCTCATTCTCCGCCTTCCAATCCTTGTACATGAAGTTCTCCATGAACTTGCAGTCCCTGCTCACCAAGAACTTCTTGGTGAATGGGTCCCAAAGAAGTCATCCCTTGCTGTTTTGAGCCATGCCCAAGTGCACGGCCCACACCGCCTTGGCACCAAGCTTGTTGTGCCGAAGATGCTTAGGCACGAGCGCCATGCACATGCACCCGAACACCCGAAGCATATCCACCTTTGGCTTCCTTCCTAGCCACTCCACATAGGGCACCCATTTGTCTGCTCCCACATGAGTCAAGGCTCTGTTCTTGGCCACACACGCGCTCCGCACCGCATCAGGCCAGAAATAGTCGGGTAGCCCGGCTTCAATGAGCAACCCGCGTGCCGCCTCCGTGATTGTGCGGTTCGCTCGCTCGGCGATGCCGTTCATTGCAGGGGAGTATGGCATGGTGAGGGAGTGCCGAATACCATTCTTCTTTAGCCACAACCCAAACTCCTTGCTCAGGAACTCTCCCCCTCGATCGGTGCGGATTGAATTGACTAGACGGTCTTGTTAACGCTCCACCATCGGGAACCAATCCGTCTTCAACGTTTCAGCCACGTCGCTCTTCTTGGCCAGCACGTACACCCAAGTCATGCGGGTGTAGACGTCGACAATGGTGAGAAAATACTCAGCTCCAGCAGCTCCAAGCTTCAGGGGGCCCACCACGTCCATCACCACCTCATCAAGCAGTGCCTTTGCCGTTACCTCCGAACTAGGGAACGGAAACCGGGTGAACTTGGCTTGAATGCACGTCAGGCAGCCAAGCACCTCATCGGGCTCCCCTTTCACACGTATGCCAGCAACCATCTCATTCTTCACTAGCTGCTGCAAGATAGGCAGGGCCACATGCCCCATTCGCCGATGCAAGGTAAGCCAATCACACTCCCCCGTAGCCGAAGTCGGATTGGAGAATGCCGCACTCGCAATAGCGCCCCACATGCTCTCTCCGTACTCCTCCTCCGCTGCTGCCTCGGGGTTCTCCTCACCCTTGTGCTGCTCCTTGGCTGCTGCACCTCTCTCCTTAGGTTCAGCGAGCTTGCTGGTCCCTCCAAGATTGCTCTTCTTGGACTCGTTCTCCTTAGCGCGACCGTTCGCACCATCGCCGCTACCAACCGCTTCACCCTTGGTGCTGACGCTTGCTGCCACTTGCCTCTCCTTAGGCATGGGGACCACAGGGATCTGCCACATCTCATTGTAGACGTCCCTATCCTCATGAAGGTCCCATAGAATCCGCTCGCCAAGCCTTGCGGTGTAGGTCTTGGCTCCCTTCGAGTTCGTGTCCATGCCGGCCTTTGCCAATCGCCGCATGGAAATCAGGTTCGCAGCAAGGCTGGGCACCCAAAGCACGTTCTTGAGGCCCACCATCTTCCCATCAGCACCCTTGAACATGGCCTTGCCCATGCCTTTCACCTCTGCTCGCTGCCCCAAAGCCGATGTGACTTGCTTCACCGGTGACGGCTCGAGTTCGGTGAGCAAGTCCGGCGAGGTGTCATGCTATAGGTAGCGCCACTATCGATCACCCAATAGTCCAGGGGGTGTAGGGTCACCTTCCCTACAGCTGCTGGCTCCTCAAAGCCTTCATCCTTCTCTGGACCAGCTGGTACTTGCGTCGACACGAAGTAGAATAGACCCGGGTACCGATCGTCGCTCGGGTCCTTGTCGTTGTCTCCGCTCTTCATGTTTGCAGCTCCGCCACCACGGCCGCCACGGCCTCCACGGCCTCCACGGCCTCGTCCTCTCCCTCCACCTGCTCCTCTACCCTCTTGGTCTTGAGCAGGGGTCCAACCATCAGGGAGCTTGTAGCAATCGCGCCACATGTGTCCGGTCTTATGACAATAATGGCACTCGCCATCGAATCGGCCGCGACCGCGCCCGTAGCTCTTGTCGTCGCTGCCGTAACCGCCACTCCCGCGGCCTCCACTGAAGTTGCTGCCACCAAACCTTCCTCCCCCTCGTCCTCTGCCTCTTCCTCGGCCATATCCACGGCCGACGCTTGCTGCCCCAGCGCCATCCGCACTCGCCAACTCACGGCGGCGGAAGTCCTCTTGTAGGATTGCGCGTTTCACGTCTTCAAGCGAGAGACGGGGCAGGTCACGGTTCAAGTTGATGATGAGTGAGGACCACGACTCGGGGAGTAGGGCCAGCAACTTGGTCTTCTTCTGGAGCTCACTGTAGTTCAAATCAGCTCCCTCAAGCCGCGTCAACAAGTCGAAGAATTTCTGCACCCCGTCTTCCACGGGTTCATCTTCCTCAATTCGTAGCGTCGCCATTTGCCGTTCCAACACCACAGCTACCGCCGGTGTTGCAGGAGCGTGTACACCCTTGAGAGCAGCCCATGCCTTTGGTCCCTTCTCTGGTTCACGCTGGAATGGCTTGATGTGACGGATCTGGCTGCTCCCCAACGCTTGCCCAAGTAGGAGGTAGCCTTGTGCGCTCTTCCGCACCCACGGGCTCTTCTCCGGGTCGTTCTCGGGACGCTTCTCCGTTCCTTCCATCACCTCCAGCAGGTCATAGTGGTCGAACACATTCTCCATTCTGAAGGACCATTCAGCAAAGTTGTCGCCGTTGGACTTGTCAAGGCCAAACACTCTAGGCTCGTCCCTAGATGGGCCAACACTTGGTTGCACGGGCGCCATGGCTGAGTCACGGGGTTGGCCTTGAGCTTGGGCTTCTCCACTGCCACCAGCACCTCTGCCACCCCTTTCCTCAGGTCCAGCAATTGTCGAAACTGCTCCAAGGGGCTCTGATACCACTTGTTATAGTCACAGTAGGCTCCAATGTGCCTAAAACGAAAGATAGAGTGCACAACCGGATTTCTGCACAGCGGCTTCAAACGTTCATAGCGTTCTGGTCACAGCTTCAAATGACTTGATTTAACTTGGATCTGGAGCGTCTTATTGTCGCCTACAATAGGGTACACCTTTGCCTGCCTTCACTGGTTTCTCGTTTGCCTGCGGTGGCACCCCGGATGGCACTGAGGTGACTTGGCGTAACATAAAAAAGGGATTTCGCGCCAAGCGTTACAGCTTTGTTGGGAGAGTGGTTAATGGGCCGTTGACTCTGGCCGAAGCGCGTGTAAAGATACAGCAGAATCTGGCGGGCGGCTACTATGAGGTTGGTTACCCGGCGATTCCGTACGCACTGTGTGGGAAGTTTAAGAAAGTGTAGTTAAATGGGTAGCTTTGGCTTCCTCTGGATAGCCTGCATTGATGCTCTTAGAGGGTGCATAGCAACACTTTCATATTAGATTGGAGCAGATATTTGAAAGTGTTGCAATGCAATTGTTTGTATTGGAATTTTGTGCATAAGGAGCTGGGTAATGTCGAGTGGTGCCCTCATATGGAGTTATCGAAGTAGGGTTATGGTAGAGAACAAGCTGGCAGCGGTATGGGATGGGATGGGATGGAATGGGGTGGAATGGGATGGGATGGGATGGGATGGGATGGGGTGGGATGGGATGGGATGGGATTGCTCTGCCCAAAGCTAAACACGAGTCGCTGCGCGACTCTTTCGCAAGTAGCTGGTAAACTTCGCTAGCGCCGAGGCGACATTGGCGAAATCACTATCATATTTTCGCGACTCACCTGGTCCTTCTCCCTCCCGACCAAAATGTGCGCGCCTGTTAGGAGGTGCTTGTCAGGCTCAGGGATTCGTAGCTCTTCTGCAGGCGTTCATGTAGAGGTTATATACAGGTCGTAACCATCCGGAATTTATTTAGAGGAGACGAGGATCATGTGTTTTGGTGATCCGAATCGTGAATCACAGCTGCATTTCTTTGTTTCCCGCTTTTGCCGCTTTTTGTTCCATCGAAGTTTTCCATCCCTAAGCCATGGCGTCGATTTCCTCTCTCCTTCCAGCTGGCGCTGCGCCTCTCGCCTCCCGCTGCTATTCTTTCGCGAAATAGCCGCTTTCCGAATGCGCGTGGTTTGTGAAGCAGCCACCACCGCAACGAACTTTCTCAACCACGGACACGAAACGGGGGAAGGGCGAACAGTTTTAGGCGGGGGGAGCAGACGACACGGGTGGTAACCTGGCCTCACCAATCCCCGTCGCGCTCACTCTCGTCGCCGTCATCGCAGAAAACAGGGCCTTGAAAACTTACGACATCAGCAGAAACGGGAGGTCCGGAAAAGGCCCGACTTTTTTAGAGGGTACCGAAATCAGTTCAAGCGAACCTAATTGATAGTTCTTCCGCCGACGCGGCGCAGGACCATTTCTGGAATAATCGCTCCGTACTGTTCCCTTTTTGCACCATTACATCATTCTCGGTTCGGTACAACAGTTCAAGAATTTCTGGTTGACGGTATCGACAATCCAGAGCAGAAATTATCCGACTGTATCCAAATTTATCCCAATTGAACCATTTGCGGACTAGGCTGTTCCAATCCAGCCCGTAGGAGCGCCATGCGCGGCTTTCACGGGAAGAGGTCACGAGAAGCTGTTACGCGGAGCGGAGGGACAGCAGGAGCAGGAGCGAGAGAAGCGAATGGGGCAGCCGAAAACGCCACTGATGAAATTCGGCTTCCTGGGCGCTATGTGTCGAAGCGGGAGCGGTTGAGGGTGGACGGGCAGAAAAGGAACATATCCACTCACGGGCAGCCAATCGACAAGATTTCGGCGAAAAATGTTGTGCGGGAAACTGCGTACGGCGGGGAAGCCCTCTCGGACGCGCCCGATTGGATACAGAACGCGGCGGCGAATCAGGAGGGTGCTGCTGAGCGATTCGCTGCGCCGCGGCGCCTGATGTGCCGGTGGGCTTGCCCTCCCCTTCTTCCCTCCCGCTTCCACCCGTCCCTGCCCCACCCTCCTCATTTTTTCAAGGTGACTCACAAACCCCGCGGTGCCTGACGTGCTGAGCTTTCTCTCTTTCCACCCTCCCCCACCCCAACCCCCCCTTCGCGCTCTCCCACCAATCCCAACCCCCCAACTCCGCCCTGGCTCCCCCATCTCTCCCCGTTACACGTTACTTTCTTTCATAATATTTTTCCCTTTTTACCCTATCTCCCCTTATCTCCCACTGACTCCTCCTATCTCCCACTATCCCCTGATCTTTCTTATTTTTTCCTCCCATCTCCTCCTATCTCAACCCCCCCTCCCCCCCCCCACTCATCTCCCCTTATCTTCCTCCCCCCATCTCCCCCTGTCTCCCCGCTTTCTTCCCAATCCCCCAGGATCCAGTCAGCCCACTCACGTCCTGCCACGTGTGTCAGGTGGTCCCCACAGTACGGTCATCTGTTGACGTCAGCAGGGATGGATGGGGCAGTCAAAGTGTGGAGTCCTTTTGAAGATAGCCCAGGAGAACGGGCAGATTCTGGGAAAACTTTTCCTCTCTGCCCGGTTAGGGTGTTTAACGGTCACCGAGCAGCAGTGAAAGACTCGTCGTGGACGAACGATGCCGCCCGGCTCCTGACAGCCAGCCTGGATGCTACAGTGCAAGTTGCTGACGTGGAATCAGGAGCTACAGTAGCAGAGGTGCGTCAGGGTGGCTTCATGTCAGTTTGCCGCCCGGATCCCTCCAACCCACAGATCTTCGCCACAGGAGGCGAATTTAAGGTCGGCAGTTTGAGATTCTGGGACATGCGAATGCTGAGAGGTGCGAGTAACGAACAGAGTGACTGTAAAAGGAGTGATAGTATCGAGATTTTGAATGGAGGCAGCACGGCCAATCACAGCAGCAGCACAGCAGCCGCTTCTTCTGAGCCGTCAAAACCTGTGCTGGAGTTCCCAATAAACGGTGGAGATCTTCTCGATCTTGCCTTCGATCGATCTGGATCGTTGATGGTGACATCAGCAGATTGCACGCGGGTAAGGGGCCTTGATAAGGGGTTGACAGTATGGGATTTACGGAAAGCCGTATCGGTATCAAATCAGATCTACATGGAAGGATACACGTGTCCGTCAGTTGCCATCCATCCATCTGGATCGCACTTCATCACTCAATCAAATGGTGGTTACATTGCAATCTTTTCTTGTACGGCTCCTTATAAGCTGAATAAATATAAGAGGTTTGAGGGGAGCCATGAAGTTGGGGGCTATGCTGTAAGCTGTGGTTTTTGTAATGAGGGGAGTGTAGTTGTATCGGGATCTGCTGACGGGAAGGTAGTGTACTATGACTGGAAGAAAGGATGTTGTTTAGGAGAAGCGGTAGCTCACGAAGGGGTATGTAGTGTAGCTGACGCACATCCTGTACTGCCATGTGTTGTTGCATCGTGTGGCTGGGATGGGGATGTGTGTATTTGGACAGGAAGCAGCAGCGGTAGGGTTCTGTAAACATATGATGCCGAATATTCTTTGCTTTGCCTGTTGAGGCCCTATCTACACCCACTTCTAATAAAAACATACGTTACTCTTTTATCTCAGCATACAGTTGCAACGTTGTATTGTGTGCCTGCAACTTGCTACTGGGATGTGTTACTGGCAATGTTTTCAGAGAACATGCCAGCCACCAGTAGTCTACTATTGTCGTCGGTGAATGTGCGGAGCCCCTCGAGTTGGTATGCTGAGCGCAGCTGATGCATAGTGCTCTGAGTGGCAGTGGCGTGCCCAGAGTGGTGTGAGACTATAGTAGCCCCTCACTTGTCGGTGGGTGTGGGGATAGCCTAGAGCTTGTACGCTGAGCGAAGCTGCTGCAGAGTGGTATGAGTGGCGGTGGAAGGGGTGGACGCAGCAAGAGCTTCATCCCACAGCTTCGACAGACCTGAGAGACAGCAGCAGAAAAGACGGGGTGAACGGGGAGGAGAGGGAGAGAGAGCTTTTTAAGCTGAGCGCATGTGGTGCAAGGTTGTGGAAGTGTCAGCGGCAGGGGTGGAAGCTGAGAGGGGGTGATTTCACCAAAGTTGAGAGACTCACGTTTCTTGTCATTGGCAGGCACGCAGACGAGGAGGATGGGGAAGCGCGGCACAGATGGGAAGGCAGAGAGCCGAGCCACTGCTGCTGGGGCATCGGAGCTGGGAGGGAGAGAGGGCGCGGAGGGGAAGGGGAGAGAGGGGTGTGAGGAGAGGGCAGGAAGATGGGGGTGTGAGGAGAGGGCAGGAAGATGGGGGTGTGAGGAGAGGGCAGGAAGATGGGGGTGTGAGGAGAGGGCAAGAAGCAGAGCCAGTGGTGCTGTGCGAAAGAGTGAGCCGATTAATTGAGTCGACTAAGAATATTGTGAACATGGACATGGTCAAGATACGTGACGCGAGAGCTAGCGAGATGCTGGCAAAGAGCGGGCATCCATGGATGTGCCCGGAAAGGGCATGCATGGATGTGCCCGGAAAGGGCATGCATGGATGTGCCCGGAGAGGAAAGATGGACAGATGCATGCAATCAGATGAAAAGACATAAAACATTGCAGGGCACTGAGTTGTTGGAGCTCCAATGGTGGAGAACTGCATTGCCGGATACAACAGCACCATGTTCGCCTATGGCCAGGTGTGCCATCTCCCAGAAGCGCCACAAAGGGGAGGGCGCACCTGGGGGAGGGCACACCTGGGGGAGGGCACACCTGGCCATAGGCGAACATGGTGCTGTTGTATCCGGCAATGCAGTTTTCCACCATGGGAGCTCCAACAACCCAGTGCCCTGCCAGCTCGACTGGATTGCAATCGAACCTTCTTAAAGTAGGTTCCACTGCAGCTTTACCAATTTGTCATTAAAATTAAATAAACAAAACACTTGTAAGTTGGTGTTCACCGGAAGAGAGTTGAAAGGATGACGGAGAGAGCTGCCGTGAGGAGCGGTGGAGAGAGGGAGAGTGAGAAGGGAACAGGAGAGAAAGCGGCGGTGGGGCAGGCATTACCTGAAGAGAGTTGAAAGGATGACGGAGAGAGCTGCAGTGAGGAGCGGTGGAGAGAGGGAGAGTGAGAAGGGAACAGGAGAGAAAGCGGCGGCGGGGCAGGCATTACCTGAAGAGAGTTGAAAGGATGACGGAGAGCACTGCAGCGAGGAGAGGCGGAGAGAGTGAGTCCTTGAAGATGGTTGACAGGCGGGCAGGCGGGAGAGACTGCCGGGAGGGAGAGGGGGGGAAGGGGGATGGGATGGAGTGATCGGGGAGGTAAGAGGGGAGGTAAGAGGGGAGGTAAGAGGGGAGGTAAGAGGGGAGGTAAGAGGGGAGGTAAGAGGGGAGGTACGAGGGGAGGTACGAGGGGAGGTAAGAGAGGAGGTACGAGGGGAGGTAAGAGGGGAGGTACGAGGGGAGGTAAGAGGGGAGGTAAGAGGGGAGGTAAGAGGGGAGGTACGAGGGGAGGTACGAGGGGAGGTAAGAGGGGAGGTACGAGGGGAGGTAAGAGGGGAGGTACGAGGGGAGGTAAGAGGGGAGGTAAGAGGGGAGGTAAGAGGGGAGGTAAGAGGGGAGGTACGAGGGGAGGTAAGAGGGGAGGTAAGAGGGGAGGTAAGAGGGGAGGTACGAGGGGAGGTACGAGGGGAGGTACGAGGGGAGGTAAGAGGGGAGGTACGAGGGGAGGTAAGAGGGGAGGTACGAGGGGAGGTAAGAGGGGAGGTAAGAGGGGAGGTAAGAGGGGAGGTAAGAGGGGAGGTAAGAGGGGAGGTACGAGGGGAGGTACGAGGGGAGGTAAGAGGGGAGGTACGAGGGGAGGTAAGACGGGAGGTACGAGGGGAGGTAAGAGGGGAGGTAAGAGGGGAGGTAAGAGGGGAGGTAAGAGGGGAGGTAAGAGGGGAGGTAAGAGGGGAGGTAAGAGGGGAGGTACGAGGGGAGGTACGAGGGGAGGTAAGAGGGGAGGTAAGAGGGGAGGTAAGAGGGGAGGTAAGAGGGGAGGTACGAGGGGAGGTACGAGGGGAGGTAAGAGGGGAGGTACGAGGGGAGGTAAGAGGGGAGGTACGAGGGGAGGTAAGAGGGGAGGTAAGAGGGGAGGTAAGAGGGGAGGTAAGAGGGGAGGTACGAGGGGAGGTAAGAGGGGAGGTAAGAGGGGAGGTAAGAGGGGAGGTAAGAGGGGAGGTACGAGGGGAGGTACGAGGGGAGGTAAGAGGGGAGGTACGAGGGGAGGTAAGAGGGGAGGTACGAGGGGAGGTAAGAGGGGAGGTAAGAGGGGAGGTAAGAGGGGAGGTAAGAGGGGAGGTACGAGGGGAGGTAAGAGGGGAGGTACGAGGGGAGGTAAGAGGGGAGGTAAGAGGGGAGGTAAGAGGGGAGGTAAGAGGGGAGGTAAGAGGGGAGGTAAGAGGGGAGGTAAGAGGGGAGGTAAGAGGGGAGGTAAGAGGGGAGGTAAGAGGGGAGGTACGAGGGGAGGTAAGAGGGGAGGTACGAGGGGAGGTAAGAGGGGAGGTACGAGGGGAGGTAAGAGGGGAGGTACGAGGGGAGGTAAGAGGGGAGGTAAGAGGGGAGGTACGAGGGGAGGTAAGAGGGGAGGTAAGAGGGGAGGTAAGAGGGGAGGTAAGAGGGGAGGTAAGAGGGGAGGTAAGAGGGGAGGTAAGAGGGGAGGTAAGAGGGGAGGTACGAGGGGAGGTAAGAGGGGAGGTACGAGGGGAGGTAAGAGGGGAGGTACGAGGGGAGGTACGAGGGGAGGTACGAGGGGAGGTAAGAGGGGAGGTACGAGGGGAGGTAAGAGGGGAGGTACGAGGGGAGGTAAGAGGGGAGGTAAGAGGGGAGGTAAGAGGGGAGGTAAGAGGGGAGGTAAGAGGGGAGGTAAGAGGGGAGGTACGAGGGGAGGTACGAGGGGAGGTAAGAGGGGAGGTACGAGGGGAGGTAAGAGGGGAGGTACGAGGGGAGGTAAGAGGGGAGGTACGAGGGGAGGTAAGAGGGGAGGTAAGAGGGAGGTAAGAGGGGAGGTAAGAGGGGAGGTAAGAGGGGAGGTACGAGGGGAGGTAAGAGGGGAGGTACGAGGGGAGGTAAGAGGGGAGGTAAGAGGGGAGGTAAGAGGGGAGGTAAGAGGGGAGGTAAGAGGGGAGGTAAGAGGGGAGGTAAGAGGGGAGGTAAGAGGGGAGGTAAGAGGGGAGGTACGAGGGGAGGTAAGAGGGGAGGTACGAGGGGAGGTAAGAGGGGAGGTACGAGGGGAGGTAAGAGGGGAGGTACGAGGGGAGGTAAGAGGGGAGGTAAGAGGGGAGGTACGAGGGGAGGTAAGAGGGGAGGTAAGAGGGGAGGTAAGAGGGGAGGTAAGAGGGGAGGTAAGAGGGGAGGTAAGAGGGGAGGTAAGAGGGGAGGTAAGAGGGGAGGTACGAGGGGAGGTAAGAGGGGAGGTACGAGGGGAGGTAAGAGGGGAGGTACGAGGGGAGGTAAGAGGGGAGGTAAGAGGGGAGGTACGAGGGGAGGTACGAGGGGAGGTAAGAGGGGAGGTACGAGGGGAGGTAAGAGGGGAGGTAAGAGGGGAGGTACGAGGGGAGGTAAGAGCGGAGGTACGAGGGGAGGTAAGAGGGAGGTACGAGGGGAGGTAAGAGGGGAGGTAAGAGGGGAGGTACGAGGGGAGGTAAGAGGGGAGGTACGAGGGGAGGTAAGAGGGGAGGTAAGAGGGGAGGTAAGAGGGGAGGTAAGAGGGGAGGTAAGAGGGGAGGTACGAGGGGAGGTAAGAGGGGAGGTAAGAGGGGAGGTAAGAGGGGAGGTAAGAGGGGAGGTAAGAGGGGAGGTAAGAGGGGAGGTACGAGGGGAGGTAAGAGGGGAGGTACGAGGGGAGGTAAGAGGGGAGGTACGAGGGGAGGTAAGAGGGGAGGTACGAGGGGAGGTAAGAGGGGAGGTACGAGGGGAGGTAAGAGGGGAGGTAAGAGGGGAGGTACGAGGGGAGGTAAGAGGGGAGGTAAGAGGGGAGGTAAGAGGGGAGGTAAGAGGGGAGGTAAGAGGGGAGGTAAGAGGGGAGGTAAGAGGGGAGGTACGAGGGGAGGTAAGAGGGGAGGTAAGAGGGGAGGTAAGAGGGGAGGTAAGAGGGGAGGTACGAGGGGAGGTAAGAGGGGAGGTACGAGGGGAGGTAAGAGGGGAGGTACGAGGGGAGGTAAGAGGGGAGGTAAGAGGGGAGGTACGAGGGGAGGTACGAGGGGAGGTAAGAGGGGAGGTACGAGGGGAGGTAAGAGGGGAGGTAAGAGGGGAGGTACGAGGGGAGGTAAGAGCGGAGGTACGAGGGGAGGTAAGAGGGGAGGTACGAGGGGAGGTAAGAGGGGAGGTAAGAGGGGAGGTACGAGGGGAGGTAAGAGGGGAGGTACGAGGGGAGGTAAGAGGGGAGGTAAGAGGGGAGGTAAGAGGGGAGGTAAGAGGGGAGGTAAGAGGGGAGGTACGAGGGGAGGTAAGAGGGGAGGTACGAGGGAGGTAAGAGGGGAGGTAAGAGGGGAGGTAAGAGGGGAGGTAAGAGGGGAGGTAAGAGGGGAGGTACGAGGGGAGGTAAGAGGGGAGGTACGAGGGGAGGTAAGAGGGGAGGTAAGAGGGGAGGTACGAGGGGAGGTACGAGGGGAGGTAAGAGGGAGGTACGAGGGGAGGTACGAGGGAGGTAAGAGGGGAGGTACGAGGGGAGGTAAGAGGGGAGGTAAGAGGGGAGGTAAGAGGGGAGGTAAGAGGGGAGGTAAGAGGGAGGTAAGAGGGGAGGTACGAGGGGAGGTACGAGGGGAGGTAAGAGGGGAGGTACGAGGGGAGGTAAGAGGGGAGGTACGAGGGGAGGTAAGAGGGGAGGTAAGAGGGGAGGTAAGAGGGGAGGTAAGAGGGGAGGTAAGAGGGGAGGTAAGAGGGGAGGTAAGAGGGGAGGTAAGAGGGGAGGTACGAGGGGAGGTACGAGGGGAGGTAAGAGGGGAGGTACGAGGGGAGGTAAGAGGGGAGGTACGAGGGGAGGTAAGAGGGGAGGTACGAGGGGAGGTAAGAGGGGAGGTAAGAGGGGAGGTAAGAGGGGAGGTAAGAGGGGAGGTACGAGGGGAGGTAAGAGGGGAGGTACGAGGGGAGGTAAGAGGGGAGGTAAGAGGGGAGGTAAGAGGGGAGGTAAGAGGGGAGGTAAGAGGGGAGGTAAGAGGGGAGGTAAGAGGGGAGGTAAGAGGGGAGGTAAGAGGGGAGGTACGAGGGGAGGTAAGAGGGGAGGTATGAGGGGAGGTAAGAGGGGAGGTACGAGGGGAGGTAAGAGGGGAGGTACGAGGGGAGGTAAGAGGGGAGGTAAGAGGGGAGGTACGAGGGGAGGTAAGAGGGGAGGTAAGAGGGGAGGTAAGAGGGGAGGTAAGAGGGGAGGTAAGAGGGGAGGTAAGAGGGGAGGTAAGAGGGGAGGTAAGAGGGGAGGTACGAGGGGAGGTAAGAGGGGAGGTACGAGGGGAGGTACGAGGGGAGGTAAGAGGGGAGGTAAGAGGGGAGGTACGAGGGGAGGTACGAGGGGAGGTAAGAGGGGAGGTACGAGGGGAGGTAAGAGGGGAGGTAAGAGGGGAGGTACGAGGGGAGGTAAGAGGGGAGGTACGAGGGGAGGTAAGAGGGGAGGTACGAGGGGAGGTAAGAGGGGAGGTAAGAGGGGAGGTACGAGGGGAGGTAAGAGGGGAGGTACGAGGGGAGGTAAGAGGGAGGTAAGAGGGAGGTAAGAGGGGAGGTAAGAGGGGAGGTAAGAGGGGAGGTAAGAGGGGAGGTAAGAGGGGAGGTAAGAGGGGAGGTACGAGGGGAGGTAAGAGGGGAGGTACGAGGGGAGGTAAGAGGGGAGGTACGAGGGGAGGTAAGAGGGGAGGTACGAGGGGAGGTAAGAGGGGAGTTACGAGGGGAGGTAAGAGGGGAGGTAGAGGGGAGGTACGAGGGGAGGTAAGAGGGGAGGTACGAGGGGAGGTAAGAGGGGAGGTAAGAGGGAGGTAAGAGGGGAGGTAAGAGGGGAGGTAAGAGGGGAGGTAAGAGGGGAGGTAAGAGGGGAGGTAAGAGGGGAGGTACGAGGGGAGGTAAGAGGGGAGGTACGAGGGGAGGTAAGAGGGGAGGTACGAGGGAGGGTAAGAGGGGAGGTACGAGGGGAGGTAAGAGGGGAGGTACGAGGGGAGGTAAGAGGGGAGGTAAGAGGGGAGGTAAGAGGGAGGTAAGAGGGAGGTACGAGGGGAGGTAAGAGGGGAGGTACGAGGGGAGGTAAGAGGGGAGGTAAGAGGGGAGGGGAGGTACGAGGGGAGGTACGAGGGGAGGTACGAGGGGAGGTAAGAGGGGGAGTAAGATGGGAGGTACGAGGGAGGTAAGAGGGGAGGTACGAGGGGAGGTAAGAGGGGAGGTAAGAGGGGAGGTAAGAGGGGAGGTAAGAGGGGAGGTAAGAGGGGAGGTACGAGGGGAGGTAGAGGGAGGTACGAGGGGAGGTACGAGGGGAGGTAAGAGGGGAGGTACGAGGGGAGGTAAGAGGGGAGGTACGAGGGGAGGTAAGAGGGAGGTACGAGGGAGGTAAGAGGGGAGGTAAGAGGGGAGGTAAGAGGGGAGGTAAGAGGGGAGGTACGAGGGGAGGTAAGAGGGGAGGTACGAGGGGAGGTAAGAGGGGAGGTAAGAGGGGAGGTAAGAGGGGAGGTAAGAGGGGAGGTAAGAGGGGAGGTAAGAGGGGAGGGGGGGAGGTAAGAGGGGAGGTAAGAGGGGAGGTAAGAGGGGAGGTAAGAGGGGAGGTAAGAGGGGAGGTACGAGGGGAGGTAAGAGGGGAGGTACGAGGGGAGGTAAGAGGGGAGGTACGAGGGGAGGTAAGAGGGGAGGTACGAGGGGAGGTAAGAGGGGAGGTAAGAGGGGAGGTACGAGGGGAGGTAAGAGGGGAGGTAGAGGGGAGGTAAGAGGGAGGTAAGAGGGGAGGTAAGAGGGGAGGTAAGAGGGGAGGTAAGAGGGGAGGTAAGAGGGGAGGTACGAGGGGAGGTAAGAGGGGAGGTACGAGGGGAGGTAAGAGGGGAGGTACGAGGGGAGGTAAGAGGGGAGGTAAGAGGGGAGGTACGAGGGGAGGTACGAGGGGAGGTAAGAGGGAGGTACGAGGGGAGGTAAGAGGGGAGGTAAGAGGGGAGGTACGAGGGGAGGTAAGAGGGAGGTACGAGGGGAGGTAAGAGGGGAGGTACGAGGGGAGGTAAGAGGGGAGGTACGAGGGGAGGTAAGAGGGGAGGTACGAGGGGAGGTACGAGGGGAGGTAAGAGGGGAGGTACGAGGGGAGGTAAGAGGGAGGTACGAGGGAGGTAAGAGGGAGGTAAGAGGGGAGGTAAGAGGGGAGGTAAGAGGGGAGGTACGAGGGGAGGTAAGAGGGGAGGTAAGAGGGGAGGTAAGAGGGGAGGTAAGAGGGGAGGTAAGAGGGGAGGTAAGAGGGGAGGTACGAGGGGAGGTAAGAGGGGAGGTACGAGGGGAGGTAAGAGGGGAGGTACGAGGGGAGGTAAGAGGGGAGGTACGAGGGGAGGTAAGAGGGAGGTACGAGGGGAGTAAGAGGGGAGGTACGAGGGGAGGTAAGAGGGGAGGTAAGAGGGGAGGTAAGAGGGGAGGTAAGAGGGGAGGTAAGAGGGGAGGTAAGAGGGGAGGTAAGAGGGGAGGTAAGAGGGGAGGTACGAGGGGAGGTAAGAGGGGAGGTACGAGGGGAGGTAAGAGGGGAGGTACGAGGGGAGGTAAGAGGGGAGGTAAGAGGGGGGAGGTACGAGGGGAGGTAAGAGGGAGGTACGAGGGGAGGTACGAGGGGAGGTAAGAGGGGAGGTACGAGGGGAGGTAAGAGGGGAGGTACGAGGGGAGGTACGAGGGGAGGTACGAGGGGAGGTACGAGGGGAGGTAAGAGGGGAGGTACGAGGGGAGGTAAGAGGGAGGTAAGAGGGGAGGTAAGAGGGGAGGTAAGAGGGGAGGTAAGAGGGGAGGTAAGAGGGGAGGTAAGAGGGGAGGTAAGAGGGGAGGTAAGAGGGGAGGTAAGAGGGGAGGTACGAGGGGAGGTAAGAGGGGAGGTACGAGGGGAGGTAAGAGGGAGGTAAGAGGGGAGGTAAGAGGGGAGGTAAGAGGGGAGGTAAGAGGGGAGGTAAGAGGGGAGGTAAGAGGGGAGGTACGAGGGGAGGTACGAGGGGAGGTAAGAGGGGAGGTACGAGGGGAGGTAAGAGGGGAGGTACGAGGGGAGGTAAGAGGGAGGTACGAGGGGAGGTAAGAGGGGAGGTAAGAGGGGAGGTAAGAGGGGAGGTAAGAGGGAGGTACGAGGGGAGGTAAGAGGGGAGGTACGAGGGGAGGTAAGAGGGGAGGTACGAGGGAGGTAAGAGGGGAGGTAAGAGGGGAGGTAAGAGGGGAGGTAAGAGGGGAGGTAAGAGGGGAGGTAAGAGGGGAGGTAAGAGGGGAGGTAAGAGGGGAGGTACGAGGGGAGGTACGAGGGGAGGTAAGAGGGGAGGTACGAGGGGAGGTAAGAGGGGAGGTACGAGGGGAGGTAAGAGGGGAGGTACGAGGGGAGGTAAGAGGGGAGGTAAGAGGGAGGTAAGAGGGGAGGTAAGAGGGGAGGTACGAGGGGAGGTAAGAGGGGAGGTACGAGGGGAGGTAAGAGGGGAGGTAAGAGGGGAGGTAAGAGGGGAGGTAAGAGGGGAGGTAAGAGGGGAGGTAAGAGGGGAGGTAAGAGGGGAGGTAAGAGGGGAGGTAAGAGGGGAGGTACGAGGGGAGGTAAGAGGGGAGGTACGAGGGGAGGTAAGAGGGGAGGTACGAGGGGAGGTAAGAGGGGAGGTACGAGGGGAGGTAAGAGGGGAGGTAAGAGGGGAGGTACGAGGGGAGGTAAGAGGGGAGGTAAGAGGGGAGGTAAGAGGGGAGGTAAGAGGGGAGGTAAGAGGGGAGGTAAGAGGGGAGGTAAGAGGGGAGGTAAGAGGGGAGGTAAGAGGGGAGGTACGAGGGGAGGTAAGAGGGGAGGTACGAGGGGAGGTACGAGGGGAGGTAAGAGGGGAGGTAAGAGGGGAGGTACGAGGGGAGGTACGAGGGGAGGTAAGAGGGGAGGTAAGAGGGGAGGTACGAGGGGAGGTAAGAGGGGAGGTACGAGGGGAGGTAAGAGGGGAGGTAAGAGGGGAGGTAAGAGGGGAGGTACGAGGGGAGGTAAGAGGGGAGGTACGAGGGGAGGTAAGAGGGGAGGTAAGAGGGGAGGTAAGAGGGGAGGTAAGAGGGGAGGTAAGAGGGGAGGTAAGAGGGGAGGTAAGAGGGGAGGTACGAGGGGAGGTACGAGGGGAGGTAAGAGGGGAGGTACGAGGGGAGGTAAGAGGGGAGGTAAGAGGGGAGGTACGAGGGGAGGTACGAGGGGAGGTAAGAGGGGAGGTACGAGGGGAGGTAAGAGGGGAGGTACGAGGGGAGGTAAGAGGGGAGGTAAGAGGGGAGGTAAGAGGGGAGGTAAGAGGGGAGGTAAGAGGGGAGGTACGAGGGGAGGTACGAGGGGAGGTAAGAGGGGAGGTACGAGGGGAGGTAAGAGGGGAGGTACGAGGGGAGGTAAGAGGGGAGGTAAGAGGGGAGGTAAGAGGGGAGGTAAGAGGGGAGGTAAGAGGGGAGGTAAGAGGGGAGGTAAGAGGGGAGGTAAGAGGGGAGGTACGAGGGGAGGTACGAGGGAGGTAAGAGGGGAGGTACGAGGGAGGTAAGAGGGGAGGTACGAGGGGAGGTAAGAGGGGAGGTACGAGGGGAGGTAAGAGGGGAGGTAAGAGGGGAGGTACGAGGGGAGGTAAGAGGGGAGGTAAGAGGGGAGGTAAGAGGGGAGGTACGAGGGGAGGTAAGAGGGGAGGTAAGAGGGGAGGTAAGAGGGGAGGTAAGAGGGGAGGTAAGAGGGGAGGTAAGAGGGGAGGTAAGAGGGGAGGTACGAGGGGAGGTAAGAGGGGAGGTACGAGGGGAGGTAAGAGGGGAGGTACGAGGGGAGGTAAGAGGGGAGGTACGAGGGGAGGTACGAGGGGAGGTAAGAGGGGAGGTACGAGGGGAGGTAAGAGGGGAGGTAAGAGGGGAGGTACGAGGGGAGGTAAGAGGGGAGGTAAGAGGGGAGGTAAGAGGGGAGTAAGAGGGGAGGTAAGAGGGGAGGTAAGAGGGGAGGTAAGAGGGAGGTAAGAGGGGAGGTAAGAGGGGAGGTACGAGGGGAGGTAAGAGGGGAGGTACGAGGGGAGTAAGAGGGGAGGTAAGAGGGGAGGTAAGAGGGGAGGTACGCGGGAGGTACGAGGGGAGGTAAGAGGGGAGGTACGAGGGGAGGTAAGAGGGGAGGTAAGAGGGGAGGTACGAGGGAGGTAAGAGGGGAGGTACGAGGGGAGGTAAGAGGGGAGGTACGAGGGGAGGTAAGAGGGGAGGTAAGAGGGGAGGTAAGAGGGGAGGTAAGAGGGGAGGTACGAGGGGAGGTAAGAGGGGAGGTAAGAGGGGAGGTAAGAGGGGAGGTAAGAGGGGAGGTAAGAGGGGAGGTACGAGGGGAGGTAAGAGGGGAGGTAAGAGGGGAGGTAAGAGGGGAGGTAAGAGGGAGGTAAGAGGGAGGTAAGAGGGGAGGTAAGAGGGAGGTACGAGGGGAGGTACGAGGGGAGGTACGAGGGGAGGTACGAGGGAGGTAAGAGGGGAGGTACGAGGGGAGGTAAGAGGGGAGGTACGCGGGGAGGTAAGAGGGGAGGTACGAGGGGAGGTAAGAGGGGAGGTACGAGGGGAGGTAAGAGGGGAGGTAAGAGGGGAGGTACGAGGGGAGGTAAGAGGGGAGGTAAGAGGGAAGGTAAGAGGGGAGGTAAGAGGGGAGGTAAGAGGGGAGGTACGAGGAGAGGTAAGAGGGGAGGTACGAGGGGAGGTAAGAGGGGAGGTAAGAGGGGAGGTAAGAGGGGAGGTACGAGGGGAGGTAAGAGGGGAGGTACGAGGGGAGGTAAGAGGGGAGGTACGAGGGGAGGTAAGAGGGGAGGTAAGAGGGGAGGTAAGAGGGGAGGTAAGAGGGGAGGTACGAGGGGAGGTAAGAGGGGAGGTACGAGGGGAGGTAAGAGGGGAGGTAAGAGGGGAGGTAAGAGGGGAGGTAAGAGGGGAGGTAAGAGGGGAGGTAAGAGGGGAGGTAAGAGGGGAGGTAAGAGGGGAGGTAAGAGGGGAGGTACGAGGGGAGGTAAGAGGGGAGGTATGAGGGGAGGTAAGAGGGGAGGTACGAGGGGAGGTAAGAGGGGAGGTACGAGGGGAGGTAAGAGGGGAGGTAAGAGGGGAGGTACGAGGGGAGGTAAGAGGGGAGGTAAGAGGGGAGGTAAGAGGGGAGGTAAGAGGGGAGGTAAGAGGGGAGGTAAGAGGGGAGGTAAGAGGGGAGGTAAGAGGGGAGGTAAGAGGGGAGGTACGAGGGGAGGTAAGAGGGGAGGTACGAGGGGAGGTACGAGGGGAGGTAAGAGGGGAGGTAAGAGGGGAGGTACGAGGGGAGGTACGAGGGGAGGTAAGAGGGGAGGTACGAGGGGAGGTAAGAGGGGAGGTAAGAGGGGAGGTACGAGGGGAGGTAAGAGGGGAGGTACGAGGGGAGGTAAGAGGGGAGGTACGAGGGGAGGTAAGAGGGGAGGTAAGAGGGGAGGTACGAGGGGAGGTAAGAGGGGAGGTACGAGGGGAGGTAAGAGGGGAGGTAAGAGGGGAGGTAAGAGGGGAGGTAAGAGGGGAGGTAAGAGGGGAGGTACGAGGGGAGGTAAGAGGGGAGGTACGAGGGGAGGTAAGAGGGGAGGTAAGAGGGAAGGTAAGAGGGGAGGTAAGAGGGGAGGTAAGAGGGGAGGTACGAGGGGAGGTAAGAGGGGAGGTACGAGGGGAGGTAAGAGGGGAGGTACGAGGGGAGGTAAGAGGGGAGGTAAGAGGGGAGGTACGAGGGGAGGTAAGAGGGGAGGTACGCGGGGAGGTAAGAGGGGAGGTACGAGGGGAGGTAAGAGGGGAGGTACGAGGGGAGGTAAGAGGGGAGGTAAGAGGGGAGGTACGAGGGGAGGTAAGAGGGGAGGTAAGAGGGAAGGTAAGAGGGGAGGTAAGAGGGGAGGTAAGAGGGGAGGTACGAGGAGAGGTAAGAGGGGAGGTACGAGGGGAGGTAAGAGGGGAGGTACGAGGGGAGGTAAGAGGGGAGGTAAGAGGGGAGGTACGAGGGGAGATAAGAGGGGAGGTACGAGGGGAGGTAAGAGGGGAGGTACGAGGGGAGGTAAGAGGGGAGGTACGAGGGGAGGTAAGAGGGGAGGTAAGAGGGGAGGGGAGGTACGAGGGGAGGTAAGAGGGGAGGTACGAGGTGAGGTAAGAGGGGAGGTAAGAGGGGAGGTAAGAGGGGAGGTAAGAGGGGAGGTGAAAGGCGGGAGAGAGTGAGTCCTTGAAGATGGTTGACAGGCGGGCAGGCGGGAGGGACTGTAGGTGGGGGGGGGGAAGCATTAGGAACACAGGAGGTAGGGGCGGCACGGGATGGAGTGAGAGGGGAGGTTAGCAGCAGGCAGAGAGGAGAGGCGGGAGAGTGAGTCCTTAAAGATGGTTGAGAGGCGGGACTGCAGGAGGGAGAATGGAGGGAAGGGAGGGGATGGGATGGATTGAGAGGGGAGGTGAGAGGGGAGGCAAGAGGGGAGGTGAAAGGCCGGAAAGAGAGAGTCCTTGAAGATGGTCGACAGGCACGCAGACGGGAGGGACTGCAGAGGGGAGAATGGGTTGAAGGGAGGGGATGGGATGGATTGAGAGAGGAGGTGAGAGGGGAGGTGAGAGGGGAGGTGAGAGGGGAGGTGAGAGGGGAGGTGAGAGGGGAGGTGAGAGGGGACGTGAGAGGGGACGTGAGAGGGGAGGTGAGAGGGGAGGTGAGAGGGGACGTGAGAGGGGAGGTGAGAGGGGAGGTGAGAGGGGAGGTGAGAGGGGAGGTGAGAGGGGAGGTGAGAGGGGAGGTGAGAGGGGAGGTGAGAGGGGAGGTGAGAGGGGAGGTGAGAGGGGACGTGAGAGGGGAGGTGAGAGGGGAGGTGAGAGGGGAGGTGAGAGAGGACGTGAGAGGGGAGGTGAGAGGGGAGGTGAGAGGGGAGGTGAGAGGGGAGGTGAGAGGGGAGGTGAGAGGGCGGAGGGACAGGCGGGCAGGCGGGAGGGAGGGACTGCAGGAGCGCGGAATGGGGGCAGGGGTGAGGCGAGGGGTGGCTCTTGACTCCACTTGAAGTGACCAAGTAGTGTCCTAGCATGCAGCCAGTACTGCTGAACCCTGCACTGACATAGTCAGTGTTGAACACTTCAATTGACCAAGCAGTGCTGAACCCTGCACAGCCCCTCGAAGTCAACTCAACCCTGCATCCCCCTCACTCATAGCCAGCACTGCATGATCTCCTTTCCTCCCGCTTCCGGTGCCACTCACAACTCACCACCACCTATTGGTACCACTCACACTCAACCCTACATCCCCCTCACTCATAGCCAGCACTGCATAGTCTCCTTTCCTCCCGCTTTCCATGCCTTGTAGGTCAAACCAGCAGAAATTTTGCATTCCACTCACCTTCACCTCTTGGTACCACTCATTGCCCACCTTCACCATTCGCTACCCACCTTCAGCACTCGCCACTCAGCACTCACCTTGATCAAGGCAGCCTGTGCGTCATCACACCCCTGCAGCCGCCGCCACCACCTCTCAAAATCCAATGCTGACTGGTAGCAGGGGCCACTGCGGGAGGGATCGACTGCACCTACCTAAGCATGCTTGCTGTAAGCTGTTACGTGAGCCTGTATCATTCCCATTGCCCACCTTGATCAAGGCAGCCTGTGCTTCATCACACCCCTGCAGTCGCCGCCACCGCCTCTCAAACTCCAATGCTGACTGGGGAGGGGCCACTGCAGCTGCTGCTGCTGTTGTTACAGTTGCTGCTGGTCGTGGTGTCGCTTCTGCTGCTGCTGCCACTGCTGGCTGCTCCTGCTGCTGCCCTACCCCCGGTTCCTGCCTCACCTCCCCCTCCCCCTCCTTCTGCCTCACCGCCATCATCTCAGCTGCAGCTGCCTTTTCTCGCAGAATCTCCGCCGCTCGAGACACCGCTGCATTATGCGCTGACGTCAGCTCGACACCCCGCAGTGACTTGTGAGTCGACTCGTAAGTCCCCTCAATTGCCACGTCATGTGCTGATGTGACCTCAACACCTGGGGATGACTTTCGAGTCGACTCAGACGTCCCTGGCACTGCCGTGTTATGTGCTGATGTGAGCTCTATGCCCGGCGATGGCTTGTGGGTCGACTCACAACTACGTTCTACTGCTGCTGCCTCATGTGTGGATGTGAGGTCAACGCTCTGCCGACCGGGAACAGCACCAGGTGCAGTTATAAGCGCGGGGTGGGCGGTGGCAGGGGCGGCAGTGACAGCAGTCGCGCTTGCAGGGGAAGGAGAGGGAGCGAGGGCAGAGGGAGCGAGGGCAGTGGGCAGCAGAGGAGCAGGGCCATGGAAAGCGGCAGTCCACACCCTGACCTCCTCCGTTCCCTCTCGTTGTCTTCCTAATGTCTCCTCCTCCTTTTCCTCGTGTTCTGCCTTTCCCCCTTTCTCTGCTCCCGACGAAATGGGTCCTTCCCCTTGTGTATCCCCCTCTGTAACCTCACTGATCCTTACACTCCCCGCACATCCCCCCCCACCTTCCCCCTCACCCTCCCCAGCACCTCCCTCCGACTCTGCAGCCCTTGTTACCCTTCTGTCCCCTATTACCCCACCAACTTCCGTGGCTTCTGAACTCTCTGCACCCCTCTCAACCTCTGTAACTGCCTTCTCCTCCTGAAACCCCTTAATCTCCTTAGCCTCCTTAGCCTCCTTAACCTCCTTCATCTCCTGAATCTCCCTCGCACCCTTCACGCCCTGAACCTCCGTAATCCTTTCAACCGCTCTGTCTCCTGTAACGTCCGTAGCAAGCCCTGAAACAGTAGCAGCGGCTCCTGATGCTCCTGCTCCTCCCGCTATCCCTGAAACCCCTGGCACAACAACCTGGCAGCCTGCTGCCCCTGCCTTGAGCGCTCTCGCAATCACACCCACTCCCTGGATGATACAGGGGATTCATTCAAACACAGGCCCACAGGGCGGGATATAGAACACCCAAAGCAAGGCGAGTTTCACCTTCACTCCAAATGCAATACAACCTAGCCACTTGCCGTCCCTCTCTTGAGAGCCCTGGCAATCACACCCACGCACGCCCTAGTTGATATGGATCGCGGTAGTTGATCATAGGGGGAAAACAAGAGAAATATGAGCGTGGTAAATTGAAAAGCAAGGTGATTCATAAGACGTCTTTTTTAGTCGAGTGAAAAACCATCCCAGGCGCTGTGAGTGGGCAGCTTGCTGTTCGTCGCTTGAAGACCTTGGCAATCACACCCACGCCCTGACTGATATGGATCACTGTAGTTCATACCATAGGGGCGAAAACAAGAGGTCACGAGCGTGGTGGGTTCAAACCCCGAGGTGCATAATGATGAATATCATCTCCAGCTCATCTCAAACCCCACCCCAGGCAATACTACCTTGCCACTTGCTGTCCCTCCCGTTTAGGTACAGATCTCAATAACATTATAGGAATTCACTCACCATCCACTCACCACCCACTAAGCACCGTGTCGAACTGCTTTCCACCCCTCTGCACCCACCTCCTTGGCTTGCTTCTGCAGTAGAGCGTTCGCCTGTGCCTGCTGCTTCAGCAAGTCTTTGTTGCCGGGATCAAGGGACAGGCCTTGGTTTATGTCTGTGGGGAAGGGGGCGGAGGGGGGGGGTTGGAGGACGCATGGAGGAGAGGGAGGATGAACGTTTGCCTCTGGTGGACAAGAGTGCGTGCCTCCGCCTGCTGCTTCAGCAAGTCTTTGTTGCCGGGTTCAAGGGACGGGCCTTGGCTTATGTCTGTGGCCGGCGAGTGGGAGTCGAAATGGGAGAAGGGATGGGAGAAGGGATGGGGGGGAGGAGGGAAGGTTGGAATGTGGATAATAGCGCTCGCATCGCCTCTGCCTGCTGCTTTAGCAAGTCCTTGTTGCTGGGATAAAAGAAGGAGGCCTTGACTTATGTCCGTGGTGGGAATGGGGGATGGAGGGAGGATGGAGGAGAGAAGGGAAGAGCCGTTGCCTCTGGTGGACAAGAAAGCATCCCCTGCCTATTGCTTCAGCATGCCCCTGCCTATTGCTGCAGCATGCCCCTGCCTATTGCTTCAGCATGCCGTGTTTAGTAGCAGCAGAGGAGGGACAGGGAATCAGTAGAGAATCAGTAGGGGAGCAGCAGGGGGCAACAACAGCACAACGACCACACACCACGCATCACCACACATCACCACACCTCACCTTGCAGTGCCCCAATCGGTCGACTCAGCATCAGCCTTGCCGCAGCGCTCCATGCAAGCGCCTTCAAATGCTCATCGTATCGATCAAGCAGGGCAGAACCGTGCACAGCACACTTGCAACAGCAGTGACAAGGTGACTTTTGAGTCGACTCACAAGTCACAGGGCAGGACCGTGCACAGCACACTTGCAACAGCAGTGGCAACATCACCACCACCATGGCATGCCCCACTGCAAGGCCGCAGCTTGACCACTGCCAACCACCACCTGACTGAGCCTGAGCGGGGCCGCAGCGCTCTGTGCACGCGTCTTCACATATTTATCATTATGATGCAACACCCCAACATTTTGAGTCGACTCAAAAGTCACCTTCACATACTCATCATTATGATGCAACACCCCATTGTGCCCCACCGCATGCATCTCACGTTGAGTTGCTTCAATGGGTAAGCTCAGAGAGAGCCTGGCAATAGCCCTCCACCAGATTGCATGGTGGTGGAGGTGGGGTGGGGTACCCCATTTCAAGACCCCACTTGCTTCACATACTCAACGAGGCAAGATTGCACACACTTGCAGTAGCAGCGCCGCCACCAGCATCACCGCACCCCACCGCACCCCACCTTGCAGCGCGTCAATAGGTCAGCTCAGCCCGAGCCTTTGCAGTAGCCCGCCGTGCGAGTGCCTTCACATACTCATTGCCATGATTCAGCGCTCCATGTTGGACTTCTTTTGAGTTGACTTCATACACTCCATCCATGTTGCAGCACCTGAATGGGTCGACTCAGTCTCAGCCTCGCAGCAGCTCTCCTTGCGAGTGCCTTCACATACTCATCGTCCCGACCCTTGAGAATTCTCAAAAGTGCGACTTTTGAGAATTCTCAAAACCCAATGCAACAAGGTTCTGCTTTTGAGTCAACTCGAAACACCCCACCTAGCAGTGCATAAATGAGTCGACTGAGCTTGAGCCCGGCTGTGGCCCTCCGTGCAAGTGCCTTCACATACTCATCGTCCCGATGCAATGCATCTGTGCAACAACAAGGCAAGGCACCCCCCCTCACCTTGCAGCGCGTCAATGGGTCGACTCAGTCTCCACCGCACCCCCCCTCACCTTGTAGTGCGTCAATGGGTCGACTGAGCTTGAGTCTAGCAGTGGCCCTCCGTGCAAGCGCTTTCACGTACTCGTCGTCCCGACCCAACGCTTCTGTGCAACAAGGCACGACCCCTCACCTTGGAGTGCCTCAGTGGATCGACTCAGCTTCAGCCTTGCAGTCGCCCTCCTTGCAGTCGCCCTCCTTGCAGTCGCCCTCCTTGCATTCGCCCTCCTTGCAGTCGCCCTCCTTGCAAATGCCTTCACATACTCATCGTCCCGCTCCAACAGGGCAAGATCGCACACACTGGCAGCAGCAGCACCGCAGAAAGCATCACCACACACCACACACCACCGCACCCCACCGCACCCGACCTTGCAGTGCGTCAATGGGCCGACTCAGTCTGAAACGAGCAAGTGGCTTTCCTTGCAAGCGCCTTCACATACTCATCGTCCCGATGCAAAGCTTCTGTGCAGTCCGCCTCAGCCTCCACCGCACTCCACCGCACCCCACCCACCTTGCAGTGCATCAATGGGTCGACTGAGCTTCAGCCTCGCAGTAGCCCTCCTTGCCAATGCCTTCACGTACTCGTCGTCCCGATCCAACGCCTCTGTGCAATCCGCCTCAGCCTCCTCGTACCTGATACAGGCACATTCGATACAAGCACATTTGGAACAAGGACGTTGCATAAACTCACGCCACATGGCAATTCGATGACTCGGAGCAGAAGCGGGGCTTTAATGACGCCTTTTCGCTCCATTGCCAAATAGCAATTCACAGGAAAACAAGCTACAGCTCTTGCAGCTATACATCAGCAATACCCACCACCCATTCGTCCCCACCTGCCCAGGTTGAGTGCTGCCGTGGTTCTGTTCCGTTGACACAGGCCACAGCAGTGGGACGGACGGATGAATGGCTGATCCAGCTCCTCTCCTCCACCATTTCAGCCCCACTGTGCGACCTTGCCTACTTCCGACCCCTTTCCCCATTCGTCCCCACCTGCCCAGGTTGAATTGAGTGCTGCCATGGTTCTGTTGACTTGACACAGGACACAGCAGTGGGACGGACGGATGGATGGACGGCTGATGCGCCTCCCCCCTCCTCGCGCCTTCCAAACCTACTGTCTGGCCTTGTCTCGACCCTCACCTGCCGAGCTTCATTTAGTGCAGGCAGCTCGGTTGGAAGAAGCAACAGCAGCGGGATGGATGGAGGGTGATGCTGTGGGAGTAACAGGGGCTGATACCCCTCCCTTTCTGCCCCACCGCTCCCTTTCTGCTCCCTTCCTTTTTGCGCTCACCTGCCGAGCTTCATTTAGTGCAGCCAGCTCGGATGGAAAAGGCAACAGCGATGGGGCGGACGGACGGTGATGCTGTGGGAGTAACAGGGGCTGATACCCCTCGCCCTCTGTCCTTTGTCGCTCGCTCACCTGCCCAGCTTCAGTGCCGCCGTGGCACGGTTGGCGAAGGCGACAGCGGTGGGATGAAAGGACTAAGACAATTCTCCATTGTCTCACCCCTCAACCCCCCGACCTCCTCACCTGCCCAGCTTCAGTGCCGCCGTGGCACGGTTGGCGAAGGCGACAGCGGTGGGATGAAAGGACTAAGACAATTCTCCATTGTCTCACCCCTCAACCCCCCGACCTCCTCACCTGCCCAGCTTCAGTGCAGCCGTGGCACGGTTGGCGAAGGCGACAGCAGTGAGATGCAGGGCGATGGTGTGGGAGTAACAGGGGCTGATAACCCTCCCTTTCTCCCCTTTGCCTCACCTGCCAAGTTTCAGTGCAGCCATGGCTCGGTTGGCGAATGCGACAGCGGTGGGATGGAGGGCGATGCTCTGGGAGTAGCAGGAGAGGGCGTCCTCAAAGCGACCGGCCTTGAAATGCTCGTTGCCCTGATGATGAGCGCACAGAACACACGCACACAAGGACATATGCACATAAGCTCATATACGTGTGCGTGCACGGAAGCAGAGTAGACAACATTTTATTAGTACGGTTGTTCCAAGCGACCGGCCTTAGAACTCACCTCCATGCCCCCTCTTACCACTTTCAACCTTTGCCCCAACACCCCACATCTCCCATCTCCCTCACAATACCTCGCCTTCCTCACCTCTTGCCACTCCCTTCTCTCCCTCCCCACTCACTCGCTCTTTCCTTCTCTGCTGCAGAAGCTGCTTCTATGTCTCCCTTACCCTCCCTGCCCCCCAATCTCGTCCGCATCCCCCTCCCTCCCATTCACGCACCTCCATCCCCATCACTCACCTCTCTCCCATCCCCATCACTCACTCCATTCCTCCCCACCCTCTCTCCCCACTCACCCTTTCCTTCTCTGCTGCAGCTGCTGCCTCCATTCCCCCTCTCCCTCCCCCCCACACCCCCAATCTCGTCTCCATCCCCCTCCCCCCCAACATCAGCTGCTGCTGCCAGCCTGCTAACAAGCTCTGCAGCCCCCCCTGCTTCCCCAACCGCCCCTGCTCCTCCCCCTGCTCTTGCTGCTTTTGGTTCCGCTCCTCTTGCTGCTCCATCTGCTCCCCCACCTGCTGCCCCGCCTGATGCTGCTCCTGTTGCTCTGGCTTGACCTGATGGTTTCTTGCTACCGCCACCTAAGAAACCGACGTTCCAGCCTGGCGCTGACGTGGACGGCTCGGCGTTGACCTGGCAGTGAGTGAGAGATGCGAGGAGTTGGGGGAAATTTTGATAGTTGTTGGAAAGAAGGTGTTTCTAAGAACTTTCTGCAACCGACATGGCGATTTGGTGAAGTCTCTGGTTGATTGCCAAGGTTTGAGATTTGGAGATTCGGGTTTAAGGTGAAGGTTCAGGGGTTTTTTAGTGCAGGGAAGGCGGGAGTGTAGTGCAGTTTAGTACAGTTAAAATTTTGGGTTTAGATTACTGGAGGTAAGAGCAGACTCTGCTGCACTGTGAAACCCACCACACAGACCATCATAACACCACAAAGCACACACACCGCACAACACCACACTACACCGAACTTCCAACCAACTGCGCCCCCCTCTCCTCCACCCCCCTCACCCCCTCCTTCTTCCTCCTCCCTTCTCCTTAGCAACCACAACCAACGCACAGGAGTAGGAAATTTGAGGCGTCTCGAAAGCATGCGACCCCCTTGCTCGAAACCATGCGACCCCCTTGCTCGAAACCATGCGACCCCCTTGCTCGAAACCATGCGACCCCCTTGCTCGAAACCATGCGACCCCCTTGCTCAACCACAACCAATGCACAGGAGGGTGGGGGGTGCGATTCAACGTCCAAACTCTTGAGAGCAATCCACTGTCCTCTCCCCTCCCCTTCACGATGCTACCCCCTTCACGATGCTACCCCCTGTCCTATAACTCCCCTTACCACAAACGGTTCACCCTCTCCCTCCCCCTTCTTCCCCCCCCAGCCATGCACAAAACACACCCAACCACACTCGCAGGAGGAGGGACGCGGAATCCCCCTCCCCCCTCCCCCCTCCCCCTTCCCCCATTCCCCTTTCCCTTCCCCATGCTACCACCGTTTTCAGCTATGGCCAACTCACAGGAGGGGGGGGCGGAACCCAGTGCTCTCGAATCGAAAGTAGTCCACTGTGTGGCGGAGCGAGAGTCTTGAACCTCCCATACCCCCCTTACCTCCCATACCCCCCTTACCTCCCATACCCCCCTTACCTCCCATACCCCCCTACCTCCCATACCCCCCTTACCTCCCATACCCCCCTTACCTCCCACACCCCCCTTACCTCCCATACCCCCCTTACCTCCCATACCCCCCTCCCTTACCTCCCATACCCCCCTCCCTTACCTCCCATACCCCCCTCCCTTACCTCCCATACCCCCCTCCCTTACCTCCCATACCCCCCTCCCTTACCTCCCATACCCCCCTCCCTTACCTCCCATACCCCCCTCCCTTACCTCCCATACCCCCCTCCCTTACCTCCCATACCCCCCTCCCTTACCTCCCATACCCCCCTCCCTTACCTCCCATACCCCCCTCCCTTACCTCCCATACCCCCCTCCCTTACCTCCCATACCCCCCTTACCTCCCATACCCCCCTCCCTTACCTCCCATACCCCCCTCCCTTACCTCCCATACCCCCCTCCCTTACCTCCCATACCCCCCTCCCTTACCTCCCATACCCCCCTCCCTTACCTCCCATACCCCCCTTACCTCCCATACCCCCCTTACCTCCCATACCCCCCTTACCTCCCATACCCCCCTTACCTCCCATACCCCCCTTACCTCCCATACCCCCCTTCCCCCCACACGGACCATCCCTCCCCTTCCCCTCGCTGAGAATCTAGCCAACGCACAGGAGCGTGTCTTTGAGTCAACTCAAAAACAGGTGAGGGAGGCAGAACCCAGTGCTCTCGAAAGTAGTCCACTGTGCGCCTGATCGACCGGCCTCCTCCCCAATCCCCCCCTATTCCCTTCCCTATAGCACCCCTTTTTTCAACTCTAACCAACTCACAGGAGAGGGAGGCGGAACCCAGTGCTCTCGAAAGTAGTCCACTGTGTGCCTGATCGGCCGCCCTTCTCCTGATGCTGCTGCTGCTGCAGATGATGATGATGATGATGGTGATGATGGTGCCGCTGATGTGGCTTGTGCTGCCGTGTTATTCGCGCTGTTGAGTTTGCCCTTTGCTTTCTTCTTTGCTGCTGCTACCGTGCCGTCCTGACAGTACCATGATGCATGCATAATGCATGGCCCCATGCACCCACAGATCATCCACATGGCAGCAACATGCACATGGCAGCAACATGCACATGGCAGCAACATGCACATGGCAGCAACATGCACATGCACATACACAGCACATGTACGCATGCACCCACAGATCATCCACATGGCAGGAGCATGCACAGGGAACAGAGGGAAGTTGAAACGCAATATCGTGAGAGCTGTTACCCTCAAATAGCTGTGCGCTGAAATTCTGGTAGTCTATACACATATCGCTCTTGCGATTTCTAAAGACTGATACAATTCTAGTGGTCGATCCACCCATCTCGCTCTACCCTTCAACATAGCACGCTAGATACATCAAGCGGACCCGTCCCTACCTTGGTCTTCCCCGCCGCTTTACCCGTCTTCCTCCCATTCCCGGAGTCGCGCCCCTCTCGGCCTCTACCCCCACCTCCGCCGCTCGGACGCGCCGCCTCTGCCAGCTGCTGCCAGCTGTCGAGATCGCGGAGCAGATCCGCCATGCTGACGTCGTCACTGACGTCACTGATGGCACTGACGTCACTACCGGGGTCTCTCTAGCCGTTTTTCCGCGTGCTGTCGCGGAGGAATTTCGACGAAAGCTGGGGTTACCAGTGGTTACGCTACAGTAAATGTGAACAAAACGCACTCTGGATTGCCTTGGATCGGTGAGCCTAACTTTCCCCGTCGAATCGTTGCTAGCGCGATTCGCTTAGGTGCCCGAACTGAACAGAGCGGGGAAGTGACCGGAGCTGCGGACTCTTAGCTATTGCGGTAAGCGGGGAAAAGGCGCGGGATCAGTGGGGGGAAGGCGGGGGATCAGTGGGGGGAAGGCGGGGGATCAGTGGGGGGAAGGCAGGGGGTCAGTGGGGGGAAGGAGGGCTGTACTAAGTGAGGGGAGGGAAGGAAAGACGGCGAGTGTGCGGGAGTGCTGCGAGGGTTAGTGACTGAAGAGAGCGAACGAAGGAGGGTGGCAAGTTGGGTGTCGAAGGGACATTAATGGGAGAAGAAAGAGAAGAGAATGACACGTGTAAACGACGGGAAGGTGGGACGCGAGCGCTTAACGGGTGTGCGAAAGTTCTGCGACACTTGATGACGGGAGTAACTGTGCGATGAGAAGGGCGATGAAGGGGAAGCGAGGCGGGCAGGGAACGCGAGAGGGACGGGCAGGGGAAGCGAGGGCGTCGAGGCGAGATTGACGCCGCCAAGCACTCGCATTTGACGCGAAGAGAGTGACAGGAGACAACTGGGCGAAGAGAGTGACAGGAGAAAACTGGGCGAAGAGAGTGACAGGAGAAAACTGGGCGAAGAGAGTGACAGGAGAAAACTGGGCGAAGAGAGTGACAGGAGAAAACTGGGCGAAGAGAGTGACAGGAGAAAACTGGGCGAAGAGAGTTCGCTGTAGGAGTAGGTAACAAGTGACGACAGATAGGCGCTTGGCCGCGACGGGGGAGTAGTGAGGTATTTGAGTAAATTACCTCCTCACACACGATTCGTTACAAGTGAACCCCTTTCCCTTTTGAAGTCTCCTTTCTAGGTTATGCCTAGTGCATGTATCCCAAAACCACACCATGACAAGCTCAAGGCCACTTTGGATCAAGGACTACATTGCGTATGTGTAAGGAAAATACCTTTTCCTTACTTTGCGCCCCTGCTTACCGCGTACATGACTGTTCCGCCAACAGCACCCTACAGTAAAACATTACCACTCGCGACACTCGCCTCGGCCATTATTGCCGCCACTGTTCACATCGCGACCCAACCTCACAGTTCGGTTGGTAAATTGTGCTCCAGCCTTCCGCCTCGACAATTCCCAAGCTCGGCGCCAGGCCTGTCGCGCACCCCACAATTCGCGCGTACCATTACATTTCTAGGCTTCGCTATATAATGTTCGCTCATTCGTTCGCTCATTGTATTCATGCTTCGATAGCACAATCCTCGTTCGCTCACTCGGTTGCACTCGTAAGACTTGGTATTCAGAGTTCCTTTCTCGGACCGCGCCCACACCTTCGCTTTCACCATTATCTCAATTTTTTTGGGGGTAGACGTCTCTTAGCGACCAAGCACCACTGCTAGTGTGCTCTCCCGTAAGCACACTCAGCCACGACTGAGGCTCTCGCTGAAACTAGACCGACACCCCCGCCATGGACGAATCCGGCCGCATTCCAATCGCGACATCGACGCAGGAACGCCTCGTCGAATGCGCCAACTCGAAAAATCTGCACTCAAACCCGATGCCACTCAAGCCGCAGCGCCCGCCCTGCTTCGATCCTAGCCAGCGTGGAGGTCCGACGGTTCAATAGTGAACTTTCACGATGAACGTGTTTCTGTACGCGAATAACGCCACGTCGGATGCAGCGAAGATCCGGTACGCCGTGTCATTGCTGCGGGGCCCCGCCATGGACTGGTGGCGAGTCATTGTGACCTCGCCAAGCGCCTACGAGCCACTGTCCTAAGAGAAAGGCCTACGTGTCAGAATCCCAACCACTAGACCATTGCGATAAAAGGGCTTGTTAAGTAGCGGGTCAGTGCGCCCATAACCCCCCAGGACAACGAGCCTGTAACCCTTCCCTAGGATCAATCGGGGATCACCAGTGGACCTCTGACACCCCCCCGCACTGGGATGCCCGAAGTGCACACACTGGGATTCGAACCCGTGACCTTCGCTCTGATACCATGTCAGAATCCCAGCCACTAGACCACTGGGATAAAAGGGCTTGTTAAGTAGCGGGTCAGTGCGCCCATAACCCCCCAGGACAACGAGCCTGTAACCCTTCCCTAGGATCAATCGGGGATCACCAGTGGACCTCTGACACTACGGGCCCAGCCGTAACTTGGAGCTAATTCTGCGAGATCGCCCAATACAGCACATGGGAAGTGTGGTGCGAAGGGCTACGGGCGATCGCGGCTTCGATCTCAGCACGCTAGAAACTTCGCACTTGGTATTAGCTCGGGCCGGTCCAGGACTACATCAACGGTTTTCTCGCACTGTGCGAGCATGTCGTCTACATGCATGAAGCGGAGCGAGTCTATAAGGCAGGGAAACGCCAGCAATCAGTAGAGTATGGGCCCACTACTGACGAGAATCACTGCTCGCCCGACCTCACTGACCCTCACTGAGTGAGTACCGATTCACGCAATCGCTCAGGCTCGGATGAATAAGGAGGGTACAGCAACAGATTGCCCAATACTGATTTATGGGAAAATACAGGGGACAGTAGTGAAGGTTTTTATTGACAGAGAAGCAATTCATGGCTTAGTTAACACCGCAACCGCACGGAAGCTGCAAGTGAGACTTAGCCGCTGTTTACTAGAGATTGATGCACGGTAACGGGGTCGCGCTACCTCGCTGGCAGTCGCCTAGGTCTTCAACGGTCCACGTCAACGACATCACGATGGAACGGGCCGTTGCCGCTGCAGCTGACGTGTACACAGTAGATATCATGGAAGTGGGAGAAGCAGAGGGGCCGAGTTGTCAGATTTATATGACATAGCTGCTGTAGGCTGTAGTGGGGTAGCACATATGGGGTACAGTTTTCTAGGGTTTGTACTTGTACCCAACTTTCCCTTAGTCAATCTCATTCCTCGACATTTACACATGGTATAGAGCGGGTTCCCTCGTGGGAACGCTTCCTAGGGCCCACCAATCGAAATTTTTTTTTTCCTGCCCGGAGCGCGCTTCGCTCCTGCCCGAGTCGCGCCCCGCGTGCCCTCCCTACCGTCGCGCCCTCTCTAGGCCCCTTACGGCCCCTTCGCGTCGCCCTTAGCGGCTCCTCTGACGGCCCTTCCAGCCGCCCTTACGACCTCTCGTGCCGCCCTTACGGCCCCTCGCGCCGCCCTTCCGGCCCCTCGCGCCGCCCTTACGGCCCCCTACGGCCCGTCGCCGCCCTTCGCGGCCCCTCGAGCCGCCCTTCACGGCCCGTCGCCGCCCTCCGCGGCCACCCGCGGCCCCTTCACGGCCGGTCGCCGCCCTCCGCGGCCCCTCGCGCCGCCCTTCACGGCCCGTCGCCGCCCTCCGCGGCCACTCGCGGCCCCCCCCTTCACGGCCGGTCGCCGCCCTCCGCGGCCCCTCGTGCTGCCCTTCACAGCCCGTCCGCCGCCCTTTGCGGCCTCTCTCGGCCCGCCGTCGCCGCCTCTACAGCAGCAGCAGCTGCAGTCGCTACAGCGGCCGCGGTCGCCGTCCCAGCAGCAGCAGCATCCGCCGCCCCAGCAGCAGCACCCGCCGCCACTGCAACCGCGGCCGCCGCCGTCCCTGCAGGAGCGGCCGCCGCCGCCCCTGCAGCAGCAACTGCCGCCGCCGCTGCAGCAGCGGCCGCCGCCGTCCTGTGAGCAGCAGCCGCCGCTGCCCCTGCAGCAGCCGATCCGCCCGAGCCGCCGAACCGCCCGAGCCGCCGAGCCGCCCGAGCCGCCGAGCCGCCCGAGCCGCCGAGCCGCCGAACCGCCCGAGCCGCCGAGCCACCCGAGCCGCCGAGTCGCTGAGCTGCCGAGCTGCTGGTGCTGCCGAGCCGACGAGCTGCCGAGCCGTCCGAGCCGCCCTGCCCTCTACCCTCGGTCCGTCTCGCCTGCCCGGTAAGAACAGCACCTCTACTACATAGTCACCCGCCTCCCTGACACCCTTCGCCCGGTCAGGGACCACTTTCTCTCTGTTTGCCCCACCACCCTCACCGTTGACCTCCTCGAGGAGCGCCTCCTAGCAGCAGAGAAGAGCATAGTCGCTGTAGGAGCCTCTCGTGGTGACCCGCGCTCCCCTGTCTTTGAGGGGTGCTCCCCCTCTCCTCTCTTGCCCTCTGTTGCCTCTGCTGCTGCGGCCGACCTCGTTGGTCTTGAGTCGGTCGGTGCGGCGTCTACCCCTAGCGGGAAGCGCCGCCCTGGCAAGGGCAAGGGGGGCAGGGGCGCTGGAGGAGCTAGCGGGGGCGGTGGAGGCAGCGGTGGAGGCGGCGGAGGGGGTGGGGGTGGCGGTGGGGGTGGTGGCGGGGGTGGAGGTGTCGGTGGCGGCAGTGGAGGCGGAGGCGGAGGCGGAGGCGGCGGTGGCGGTGGGAGCGGAGGTGGCGGAGGTGGCGGCGGTGGAGGAGGCGGCGGCGGGGGAGGTGGAGCTGGTCGGGGTGGCACTGCGCAGAGGGTTGGCTCCGGTGGTGGTCAGCGCCAGCAGCAGCAGCAGCAGCGCACTCGGGACATCCCCCCCCCTTAGCAGCAACGTGAGTGGTACGCTGCACGCCAGAGGGGTTGGGGTACTGGTCCGTGCACCTACGTCCTACGCACCGGCGACCGCGCGGGTGAGCCGTGCGGGGGTGCGCACTCCACCCAGCGCTGCTTTGGCCGCCTGACGGACGCTTGGCGTCACCAGTTCCCTGAGGCCACTGAGATCCCTCGCTGGGGCGAGCTGTCTAGGGCGGGAGTAGCTATCTTTGACCTTGACTTTGATGCTATTCTTGCTGCCATGTATGCTGTGACTATTAGTGATGAGGGTGACGGTTACCGGTGTTTTCCGCCCGACCCGGGCATT